GAACCTTCATGTAGCTGTCTCAGCTGAAGGCTACGAGCTGACAGCCCCACTTGCCTCGAGGATCAAGGGAATCCGATTAGGGTTTAGGGCTTATAGGGTTTCTTGGGTTTAGAGTCTAGAGGGCCAATGGTTTAGGGTTTGCAGGGTTTTCATAGGGCTTGTACGGCCACGGTAAGGTTTGCAAGGCTTACAGGGTTTGTATATAGGGCTCAGGGTGCCAGATCCCTAGAAACTTGGTCGCGGACATCTTGTCTTCATCGTTGCGACCATGCCTGTCGAAACGACCACGGGATGCGGCTGCTTTGCACACTTTGGTTCTGCAACGCCCCAAACCAAAAACCCCAAAAGGTCAGGGCCAAACTTCTAACCACGTTAAGTCCTAAATCCCAAAGGCCTGCACCAGGAACCCAAACCCTAAACCCTTTAAACCCTCAGAGCCTTTCATCACCTCCTCCCATGCTTCGACTTCCGCGAGGCTGTCCACGCTTGAGGCCAGGGCCTTTTGCAAAGCTGGGTTGAGAGGTTTCGTGGCTTCGGGCGCAGGGCTTAACTTAGGGTTTATAAGGTCTAGGGCTTCGGGTGTGGGTTTTAGAGTTTAGGGCAACTTCGTTCACTCCCGGGGGGAGGAGGGGAGGTTGTCGCAGCTTGGGAGACGAGACGAGGTAGATTGTTTTTTGGTGGTTCAGGAATGAGGGGGGGGGGGGGGGGGGGGGGGGAGGGGGGGGGGGGAGGGGGGGGAGGGGGGGGGAGGGGAGGGGGGGGGGGGGAGGGGGGGGGGGGAGGGGGGGGGGAGGGGGGGGGGGAGGGGGGGGGGGAAGGGGGGGGGGGGGAGGGGGGGGGGGAGGGGGGGGGGAGGGGGGGGGGGGGGAGAGGGCGGGGAGGGGGCCTGAACCCAAACCGTAAACTACCTGCATAGGGATTCTGGCCATGCATTAGGGATGCGAATGCTACTTGGGGGTTCATGGCACTTGTTAACCAATTTTATCTGCGCTTACTATAAGTGGGGGAGGGGGGGGAGGGGGGGGGAGGGGGAGGGGGAGGGGGAGGGGGAGGGGGAGGGGGCTTCTTGCAACAAAAAACATCCGAATGTAGAGAAAAAGCCTGTGTCTAGCGAGAGGATCTTGCTTCATCGCCGCAAGCGGTTCGAAAACCACGGCGTGCGTAAGCACCTCATGCATGCCTGCACATGCCAACCCGACTTGCTGAAAGGAGGGAAGGAAGCAGAAGCCCTCTAAACCCTAAACCCTAGAGCCTAAACCCTACCCCCTCTAAACCCGCCTAAACCCTTTTTAAGCACGGACTGAGGCTGCCCGCAACACCTGAAAGCAGGGCCTAAACCCTAAACCCTAAACCTTAAGCAGCCCTTGGACCTTCGAAGTAGGCTTGTCAGGACATTTGGGCAACACACCCCTTGCGCAGGCGCGCCTCTCGCGCATGCATCTTGGACTCCATCTTGGCAGCCCGACGGCCCCATCTGCACAGGCGGAAGCTTCAAGCTCTAGGGCTTAAGAGTCTGTTTAGGGTTTAGGGTTAGTTTAGGGTTTAGGGTTTAGGGTTTAGGGTTTAGGGTTTAGGGTTTAGGGTTTAGGGTTTGGGGCTCCTAAAAACAGGAACTTATAAAGTGCTGCGATAGTCAAACTTGAAGGTTTGGGGGTAGTTGAAAGCAGGTTAAACAGTACGCTAAAGAAGGAAGCATGTCTTCAGTCGCGCTACTTAAAAACCCGATGTATAGCTACCCACGAGTAGGTCCACCTTCATCTACTTTTTTGCGGTAGAGGGAGTCCAGGTGGGTGGAGTGGTTGGGGCTGGGGGTTAAGGGTCTGGGGTTACCAAAGAGTCCTGGTTAAGTGCGGCTGGTTCTCGGTACTCGGACTAGGACTGAACCCTTTTGTGTATACCTTAAATCCTCAACCCTAAACCAGAACAGTGTAAGGTTCGGGAAAAACTCGCCCTGACACCGCACCCGCCCCCACTTTAAGAACCTGGACCAGGATTAGGGTCCCCTTCAGGGCACTAGCTTCCTTTAACAATTTAACAAAGGTACCAACGTACCCTCCTTCCAACCCATTTGCAGCAGGCTTGCAAGCATCCTCGCCTGGGTGCCCCTAAACCCTTCACCCTAAACCCTACCACCCTAAACTTCCTCCTTTGGCTCTCTCCGTCGCTCATGCCGACCTCACATCCCCGATGACCAGAATATCCTGGGCACATGGAGAGCCCCAAACCCTACGTGGAGGTTCATGGGTGGTCATAAGTGGGGTTACAAGCAACTCTAGCTATACCCTTATTCAGGGTATTTCTCACCCTACTTATAACAACCTTTGCACCTCCAAGTACAACGCTAAACCCCAAGCCTGCAAGTGACGACGGGAGGGCAACTCTACCAAAAAGCAGGATTCGGGTTGAGCTGGTGGCTGAAAGCCCGGGCAATGAAAAATCAGCCCCGCAAGCCCTGTCCAAGCCCCCATGCGAATACAGGAGCCGAAGAAGCACCCATTCTTGCCCTTATAACCCTTACTCGAAGGTTCATGGGAAGTTTTTTAACGTAGGGTTGTAAGTGCCCTGAGTAAGGTTATAAGTATAGATACCCTACTTCTAACCCTCCTTATAACTACACAGGAACCTCCACGTCTACACTTAGAGAAGAAAATGCCCAACATACCCGTTCCAGCTAACTAGGCCCTCCAATAGGAGCGGCGATACCTTCAACTTTAGGCCCTCTGGATGCCCTCACACCGGAGTGCGTTCCAGACTCCGTTCGCTTCACAAGCTCGTGGAAGAGCTTGAAGCTTGCGTCAATGTACTTCATCTGGTGAGAGACCTGGTGGCACCGGTTAAGGGTGTAGGGTTTAGGGAGGGCTTATATAAGGTTTTTTGCCACCTCACGGGCTAGTTGCGTCTCAACAAATTCTGCGATGAATGACTCTAGAGGAGACTCCTTAGGGATTTGGGTTTAGGGTTTAGGGTACATGAGCTGAAGAGCTGAGGGATTCAGTTTACTTCACACAAGGATGGTGTGCATAGAGTGCAAGGGGGGAACCTAACCTTATGACGTGGGGTGGAGCACATGTTTGAGCAAGGGGTCATGGTGCTTCTTCTTCGGTGAAGGGTGCGGAGCTGGGCCCAAGATTTCCGGACTCTAAGGGGGTTTAGGGTTTAGGGTTCAGGGTTTAGGATCGCATCTCCATTTTCAAGGGCTCCAAGACCATCGCCGTGGTCAAGCAGACATACTCACCCAGCCGCGCAGTAAACCCTGCATAAGCCTCTCGTAAAGTCCCAGTGTAGCCTCTAACCCTAAAGCCTGAACCCTAGACCCCTAACGACACTTGAGCTCAAAACCCTTTGTTGCTGAAACCCTGAACCCTACAAGCCCTTGACTGCAAAAAGCACACCCCCCCCCCCCCCCGCTTTGCGAATCCTAGACTCTAAACCTGAGACCTGAACCCTTAACCCCTAAACCCTGTAAGCCCCTCACTCCCCCAAAGCCTAAACCATAAACCCTAAAGCCTAAACCCTAAACCCTAACCCCCAAACCCTACACCCTAAACCCTAAACCCTTACCCCTAAACCCTAACGAACCCTCAAAATCTGAGTCGCCGGTCGCCCAAAGCGCCGAGCCCCCCGGCGTGCTGCCGTGCGGGGAGCGCCAGCCAGGGCTCGCTGAGGGGGTCGGGGACCGAGCCAGCATCCTGCGTTTTTAGGGTCGAAGTTGTTTTTGTTAATGGCTTCTAGGGTGTTTTATGATTTCTTTGGGGTTTATAGGGATCGTCGGACTTGACTACGCAAGAGGCCCGTGAAGTGAAGTGATGCTTTCTAAAAAACATGTTTTGAGTTGTTTGATGGTTTGGGGTTTAGGGTTTCATCTTGTTTTTCTTTGAGTTGTTTGAGGGTGTTTCGGAGGGTTTCTAGGGATCCTGTTTTGAGATTTTGAGGGTTTCTACGGAGGGGTTGTAGTGGGTTTTGGGGATGTGTTTCATGCTGGAGGGTTTTAAAGCTTAGGGGGCATCTGTTGCATGCTTGCCTAATTTCAGACTAGTGGGGTTTTAGGGGGGGGGGGGGGGGGGCTTCAGGGTGTGGGGTTTGAAGTTTATGCCTAGGTCGCTGGTGCCTGGCGCCAGTGGTGCGAATTCGTCAGGAAGAAAATCATGTCCTGTGCGTGCCGGCATTTGCGAGGCGAAGCAGAACCCTTTCAAAGCACTGCAGAAGGAAGATCTCTCTCTCTCTCGCCATACAAACATTTAATCAGTACCCTGAAATGAATATTTCCTACTATTTCGTATTTTCGAAATGACCGGTCGACATCAACAAACATGAGCTTGGAACGCACAGAACTTGAGTGTGATGCACACAAAAAACGACATCGACCAACGTCCTCTTCGAGAACTGAAATTAAATCAGTATTGAACTGACCAGCGGTTTTCCTTGCTGTTGGTTAGTAGGAATGAGGGAATGAGGTACCCTAAATCCCCTATAAATACCCTTCAAGGGATTGTATAGGGTACCGCATTCCCTCATTCCCTACTAACCAACAGTAAGAGTATGGGGATGTTGGGGGGCGATCACCGTCCGTAAGCGCGTGCTCGCACTGCGTGCAGATGAAGCCCGCGATGCCCACGTCATCAAAGTCCTGTGGCGGCTAGGAGGATATCATCTAGGCGCCTGAACAATTAGAATAGGGGTTCGGAGGGTTATTAGTATAATTACAAAGGGACCGTGAGGGAATATTATTACCCCTATATTGTAGACTGTTAAGCTTGCAAATTCAGGATTCGGGTTCTCGGGCGTTGAAGTTTACACCATCTTGTATCCAGTACTTTACATCAGGCACGCATGTCTTGCCCGGCTGACAGTACGACTCAGCATCAACTTCCACAGCGAAAATGGGTTGCTCTTTACGGATCACATGCGCTGAATTGCTCAGCCCTTTTTCCTCTGGCACTGAAATCTTGTCTGCCACCTGTGGAAGTCATCGGGACGTACGCCCTATTGCAACTCACAACTCACAACATCAGAAGCGTGGGTTCAGCCACCTGAGTCTCGCACCAGCTCCAGGATCCTTTCAAGATGGCGGCAGCCTCGTCCTTTCCACCGCTTGAGACCCTGCCAGCATGGGCGCTCAAGATCTGGCGCGGGCCCCAGGCTAGGATGCGCTGCAAGCTCTGAGAAATGTTCCTCTTGTCCACCTCTGAGAGCCCCAGGCGGTATGTTGGCAGCAGCACGTCCGACGGGCCCGGGCGCACGAAGGCATCGTAGTAGAGGTCTGTGCATGCACCAACTTGCGGCCGGCCACTCATGTCCTTCTTATCCTTAGAGCCAAAGTAGACAAAGTCTGAGGTGAGCAGCGTCCCAGAGCTCTGGTGCTGCAGGACCACTTCTGGAAAGCCTGTCTGGCCAATGACCTCGATGCTAAAATCCTGCAAGATCTTCTTCACTGCCTCAGGGATCGCTCCTGGACCCACCTCCAGCGGATTTGCCCAACTGGGGAGATGGATTCCCTGAGGGAGAATCACGTGGGCGTTGGGCCAAGCCCTGTTCCAGCTCTCCCAGTGAATCGCGTGCTCACGATTGGGTAGCACAATGGTCGTCACGCCGCCAAGCCGTTGTAAAGCCGACCTCACGTCAGGCAACAACTCCACCGGTGAGTACACGAGGACACCATCTGCGAGCTTCACAAGCCCCATCCGGCGAGACCAGACGCACGGTACGGCCAGCTGCCCTGCCTGCCACTGGGCGTCAATCTCCCGGTACTTTGCCTGCGCCTGGGGATCTTTGATGGCTGCGAGCAGTGACCTGAAGGTCCCGTTGTGCATTTGGGCGTCTTGCAGGGCCACATACTCAAAGACACTGCCGCCCTCCAACGGCTTGAAAGCTGGCCAAGGCCAGTGGCTCGCTGGGTCAGCCCATGCCTGCACACAAAGGACATGCAGCAGCGCCACGACAAGCATAGCTCTGGAAAATAAATTAACAGCCTAGTTGCTGATTAGCTATGACCTCGCTGGCCAACGCGTTTCCTCCATCAAGCTTGAGCCTGTGATCATTGAAGCTTTGCCCGGTTGCCACAAGTCTTCACCGAGCTGTGCTCGCCATCGAAGACTGAGCTCCCTAATTCCACCTGTGTCAAACATCTTGATCTCAGGCTCTGCAGTTTACCCTTCAACACGACCGCGGGTACCGAAACCGCGTGCGCAGAAACATGTCAGACGGGTTTGAGGACATCATTTCAGAAGATGTTCGAGAGGCCGGTTCTTGGATTCCTTTGGAACCATCTCAAACTTTAACCATTAAATTCTGGGACTGAATGAGCTGAACGGCGGGGTGGAGCCGTGCCCTAAGGTCTCGCACACTCAAGGATCACATGGGAGTCCCCCAGAAGTGGTCGCCAGGCCCTTGCACTACATTTCCTACTATGCTATCTACTTGCCCTACATTTCCTACTATGTTATCTACATCCCTCAGTTTTTGGGGGGCTTTTGGGGGGGGCCTCCACAGTATGGCTTCCCTTGCTGTGGTGGATGGCCGTCCAGCCTGACATCGCGGTGTGATCTGGCGGTGGAGGGCAAAGCGGTGTTCGTTCACCTGGCAGCCCGCCAAGCAAAGCGGGCCCCCTATCTGTCAATATTATATATGTATATAGACATACGCACAGTAGCTTCCTTTTTTTTCTTACATGTATATGAAGAGTCCCGTAAGGAGTTCTAGGGTAGAGTAGCAGCAGGATCCTCAACCAGAATTGAAGCCTGTACCCTTCAACGACGGCGAGAACACATAAGGATCTAAGGTCTCTACTTATTCTGGCTGCTATGCTCGAAGCTCTGCTTGATGCTATGCTACCGCAGTTACTGTACGTTTCGTGAAGACTCACCTCAGCCAGCAAACCCTGAACCCTACGCCCAAGCCAACAGCTGACAATGGCAGGGTGTAGGCCCACCAAAATATCAGGCGTGAAGTGTAGGTGCAGAATTCGAATCGCCTTAAATCTACGCCCAGTTCTGCCAGGGTGGCCACTTCGCAATCCTTCAAAAAATTGGTGCCCTCCATGTTCTGGATCACCTCGGTCTTGGCATGGTCTTTCTCTTGATCTCTTGATCTGGGGTCAGGGGTCGAGGGAATGGATTTGGATTCTTCTTGGGGGGGGGGTTGACATTATTTCATTGGGTGTTACCTAGGGTTCGGGTTTGGGGGTCCGTGCTCCTGTCTTGGGCCGTGTGGGAGCACGGGTGGCAGAGGATCCCGTACGCGGAACTCGGGGCGCCCTGGCCCCCGTTTTGAGGCATGGGCTTGGGGCCGAAGGGATCAGAGAGGGTTTAGGGTTTAGGGTTTAGGGTTTAGGGTACAGGGAACTTGTGGGTTTATGGGGGTGTAGAGGGTAGAAGGGTTTCTTGTAGGGTCTCTAAGGCTTATACCCCCTAAACTCCCCTAAATCAGCGTGCTGAAGCCAGGGTCCTGAAATCCGCAACTTGGTTCGGCCTCTAAACCAAGTGGGAAGATGTTCCTGAATGAGACCCATTGAAAACAAAACGGTTTGATTTTGGGGTTTCGGGGTTTAGGGCTTGGGGAACCCAAAACCTCCTGAGTCCGGCCTGAACCCCTCAGCCCCGAATCACCTTGTGGCATCTGGGGACGCAGCGAAGCTGTCGCGGGAAAAGCGCGAGGAGGAGAAAGTGAGCTCCAGCCTTGGCTGAGAAGTTCGGGTTCGCACGGGTTTGACTTGACCAGGGTAGATTTGGGGGGCCCTACAAAAAATTGGATTCTTGATGGCCTTTTAAGGACTACCTAGGGACTGGGGGGCACTAAAAACCAAACAAATATTTTCATATCCGCCCCTGTATTGAGGTTTTGTGATTCTGGGCCCATGGGCCCCACCAGTAGATACCAAAGGTGGGGAACCTCCACTATCAAGGAGAGATAGAACGGCTAGCGCAGTTCATCAGCCTGTTTTTTTTTTTTTTTTTTTTTTTTTCTTTTTTTCTGGTGGGCGTGCAAAAAAACTCAGTGTCTGCATAAAGCTCCTGCTGCTGGGGACAGTGATACAAAGTTTTTGTCCTGGTAGAAAGTAGCTGTGACATGCCAATGGCCTTGACAAGGCAGCTGCAGAAAGAACCATAGGCGACACTGATTTGTGGTTACATGTATGGCGCAGGATGATCCCAATAATTAGTGCATAGCATGTCCCTTGAAGTTTGGAGCCTATGCGAACTCCACACCCGTGGATCAATGTTGACAAAAGGTGGACAGACACCCTCCAGTGACTGAGCTCCGGGCGAGTTGCCTTTGCCTCGGATTCCGGATGAGAAAGATTCGAAGACTGGACAACAGGTCCCCGAGCCTTTCCTGAGCAACCGTCAACCCTAAACCCTCAACCCTTAAAAGCCGTAGTCCCCCAAAACTCCTGCCCTTCGCACCCCTTAACCCTTCCAAGCCCCACCCCCCTCCCAAAGCCTTAAGCCTTAGCAAAATTCGGGGCTCAGGGGTCCAGGTTTTCGAGATTAAACCCTAAACCCTAAACCCTTGGTTTAGAGCATTCAGCTCCAGTGCTTGGGACTTGTCAGGGAGGTCCGGCCCGGAGCTGCGAGTGTTAAAGAATATCTCGGAGCCAACAGAAGAATGCCACAGGACTTCAAGGTTTAGGGGTATTCATAGGGTCTCATTTTCCTTTATTGTTTTGAGGCATAGGGATTCTCTTGCTGCTTCTGTTTAGGGCAAGCATGCAAAAACACGCACGGCACGTGTCAACAGCTACACCCCAACGACCTGTTTAGAGAGCCACGCCAGGATGCCCTGAACCCCACGATAGAAGCAGAACCCTGAACCCAGACACAAATAACACAAAAGCCTTCCCCCAAGCCGTTCTACAGAACTTAGCGTCTTTAGGCACATACACTCTTCAACAGAGATATGCGCACACACACACACACACTCACTCACTCACTCACTTACTCACTCACACACACACACACACACATCCCGGATTCAAACCTTTTCCTCCCTGCGCTCCCCCTCAGCCCTGAAACTCTACATCAACAACATAGCCGTATGTAGCCCCATGCAGTTTAGGATTTAGGGTTTGGGGTTAACCCGTCATGCCCTTTCAAGTAAAAACCTTATATAACCCTGCCTTTTGGAAACTTCCACATTGCTTCTATGTGCTGTGTACGTGCGCAACCCATAAACCTTTAACCCTGAACACTGAATCTGCAGACCTTCAACCCTGAACTCTGAACTCTGAAACCTAAACCCTAAACCCTTTTGCCTAAACCCTGTTGCCTAAACCTTAAAAGACCTTAAACACCAAGCCCCAAACCCTAAACCCTAAACACTAAACCCTAAACCCTAAACCCTTCCGGGGCCTCGCTTGGCGCCGGTGCAGCTGAGCCAAAGGTGAGGTGTGCCGTGCCTTGGCTTGGCCGAACGCCGGACGTTACTTGTACAGGGTTTTTTGTTTTAACTTGGTACACTTCTCGATTTCTGCATGTCATCCTTGCGCAGGGGCCATGCTAATCTTCTCTGTGTCGTTCCAATTTTATCGGATGATCCCCGAAGGGAATCCGGGGTTTAGGGTTTAGGGTTTAGCAAGGACTGGGCAGCATGTTGCTGTAGCCTCACTCACATGAATATCTTTTCGACCTTCGCTGTCGTACCTACTGGGCTCATGTCTTTGAACTTCTTTCGGCGTACGAGTTGTCAATGCTGCTGCGCTGCTCGCTTGCAAGCTTCCTGCAAACTGATACTCCCCTGAAACTGAACCTGTGGGCCGAATTTAGGTGTAGGATGTCTCGTGCTGCGGCGCGTGCTACCTACATAATATAACCTTGAAATCCTGGTCCACTGGCTAAAACACCCCACAAACCCTAGGCATCAACATGTCCCGCTAACTTTGGGGCTACGGGCCTCCACAAGCTCCCTCATTAAGGGTTCAGGGTCCCTGACTGAAACCCTTTAAAAACCCGAGAAACGGCTCGATATCCTCATGCGCTAATAACCTGGGTGAGGGTGCTGACTCCATCGCAGCATGACAGCGGCTTTGTCCTGCAGTTCGGCTAGTTGAATTTAGGTGGGCTGTAGGGAGCAAGATGCTTGGGATGTAGTCCTTAAGCCCTTTTTTGAGCGCGGACTGGGAAACTGCCGGCAACCTGATAGCAGAGCCTTCCTGCGACCCTATACAAGCAGGAGACGAATTCACAGGCGAGACTTAGTATACTGGTAGAAAAAGGGGCGCTGCTTTAGGGACCCTCAACCCTAAACCCTTTTGCCTAAACCCTAAACCCTAAACCGAAGGATGGTTTCGGGAGTGCATACACGCCCCTGCTGACAGACATCAGCCTTCTACTCTCGCGTGCCAGCCCGCCTGGGATGTGTACTTGCACGACTGCACCACGCATTGCACGTGCGCTTTTCTGCTTGCAGAAACCAGGGATGTAAGACTGATCCGGCTTGGGATGTTCCCCCTTCTACTAACAGTCCTTAGTAGGAAATCTAAACGGGGGTACTATAATCCCTGCTAAGGACGGTTAGTATAGCGGGGGAACATCCCAAGGCATAGGGTTATTCAGTAGTGTTGTAAGTACCCTGAACAAGAGCATAAGTGTAGCTACCCCACTTTTCTCCCTACTTTCACCTACACATGAACCTTCAAGCACCCTAACACCCAGAACCCTCTGTCGCCAGGACGCACAAGGAGCATTTGCTTAAGAACACCCCCCGGCAAATCAAAACATATATAAATGAAAACAGACATAAAACATATTCTTCCTTGTTCTTTCTTCCGATAGAGATTTTATTCTACATGTTGGGGGGGGGGTTCTTAAGCAAATAGGGTTTAGGGATCTTATTCTACATACTTTGGGGGGTTTCTTATTAGGGCTTGGGGTTTGGGGTTTGGGGCGTGGGGTTTAGGGTATAGGGTTTAGGGTTTAGGGATTAGGGTTTAGGGTTTGGGAGCCGGTCC